AAGGACTTATGGAGCGGCTGAAGGCCAACTCCCGCCTGACGGATAAGACTTTAGTCTGACACCGCTAGGGGTTCGAACTTCGGCTCGGGCCATCGTAATTTCAAACCCCGTTTCAATTTTACGGGGGATCGATCGGAGGGGGGCAATCTCGGTGCGGGTACTAGTATAGAAATAAATAAGTTAATTACACGTACCTGCTTTGCATATCAATGTCTAAATTAGACATTGTAGACGCGCAATTAACTTTGACTAAATTACGACTCGAAATTTCTATAAATAAAGTTCCTGTCCAAAAAAGTTAGTTCAAAAAAAGGCTTGACAAAAACAGGTATTGCAGTCGAGTGAGTAATTTTTAGGACTAGGCGGTGGTGTAGGTTTGATTCTCGCACTCTACTGGTTAGTTCAGGATGGAATGTAAGTTCTTGTCCGAAAAAGTTAGTTCAAAAAAGGCTTGACTAAAACATATATTACAGTCAACTGAGTAATTTTTAGGACTAGGTGTAAGTGGTGTAGGTTTGATTCTCGCATATACTGGTTAGTTCATGATGGAATTAAAGATAATTTTCTCTAAAAATCGTGTAATACATACTCGTTATAAGGGTTGCGAGAAATGACTTTTAGGAATTAGAATGACAATATCAAAATGACAATGTAATCTCGCAGATATCACTGTTCACTTTGCCTTTCCTTTAAAAGATAAAAAAAAATAGTTAAAAATTAAATGATAACTACCACTTATCTGTTAGCATAAAACTAATGAGTTGTATTTGCGATTTTTAATCTAGTAGGCGTTTAGCAATAGATTTGTATATTATCTGCAACTTATACAAACATTTGTATTCATGAATACTATTGTTTGTATTGGTGAGGTTGTTTTTTATGTACACATATTATATATTTAGTTTAACCTGCCACATTAATAAACAACGATTGCACTAAACAAAAACTGAATTTTTAGTAAAACTACTATGGTATATTTGTTAAAACTACACCATAATTGGTTAAGCCGATTCTGGGGTTAGGCGCACAAATACAACAGTTTCAAAAACTTCTAAGTAAAAATATAGGCTCTATAAAGTTGATATAGTAGCCCAATAACAATTGTTGTTATATACGTACAGACAACGATCATATATATTTTTATTATATACTCCCCCGCTACTAGCCCCGGCTTCGAACGGGTGTACGTGTATTATATATATAAACGTTCCTCTTGAATCATTATATTTATTTAAAAAAACCGCTTTAAAATCCGTTGCGTAGTTTTGAAGATTTAAGCATACATAGGGACAGACAGCGACAACGACTTTGTTTTATACTGTGTAATCTGTGCCCGCGACTTCGTTCGCGTGTTTATCAAAAACACTATCGCGATTTTTTTGCCCTATTTGCAACATTTTTCACGATGCTTCGCATCTATAGGTCGTACGTAACGTAATGTTATATAGCATAAAGCCTTCCTCGACAAATGGACTATCCAACACAAAAATAATTTTTCAATTCGAACTAGTAGTTCCTGAGATTATCGCAATCAAACTAACAAACTCTGGAGCTTTGTAATATTAAAGTATGTTTAGTTAGTTATATCACAGGAGTCGCATGATGACGTGATGTGAATTATGCTATTCAATTGTTCATGTATATAGTGGACTGTCACCCCTTTCCATCAGGTGGGCCTATAACTTAAGCCAGCTACATAGAAGTAGTTCTACATTTTTTTGTCAAAGGATAAGAAGAATAAAAACACATATAAATAAAATTGGAGTGTCTATTTGTAATATTGAAATAACCGTTTTTTACTACATGCATATCAATATAAATACGATACATACACCAAAATAACATCTGTCTGTCTGTCTATTTGTCTGTTTTTTCCGGCTAATCTCTGAAATGGCTGAATCGATTTTGACGGGACTTTTATTGGCAGGTAGCTGATGTAATAAGGAGTAACTTAGGCTACTTTTCTTTTATGCTACGTTTACATTCAGCCGCTTCACCTGCCACTCGCGCTGTCGGAAATATTACCGGGCCACAACTGAGCGAGAGGGCTGAATGTAAAAACACGCTGCCACTCGCGCTGCCAGTCCTTTGACTCGCGCACAAAAAACCGACAATCGAGGCAGCGCGAGTGGCAGTGCCATATTCATGGGAAGTGTTTCCACTCGTGTTTACACTCTCGCGCTGCTCACTTCCCTGCCCACTCGGGCTGAGTGTAAATTGGGCATTAGAAAAATAAAGTTAAATTCCACGCGGACGAAGTCCCGGGTACAGCTAGTTTGTATATATAATCAGTATACAGAACACTGACATTCATTGGCACTGAATATTCAATAAAAACCTAGTGATGCATTTAAAAGGATATATCAAAGTCGTTAAGTTCAATTCAGTACTTGCATTGGCCTGCTCTAAACGTTTTCTTATCTTAATTAATTGTAGAATTGAACAATAAAATGTGTAATTTATTGAATAATCTTTCACCATCTTTAAAACAGGTATATATATTTTTTTAATGGTGATTGAATGGAGCACCCGCCTGCGGTAATGGTATACGCTGGCGGGGCACCAGTGAAAGGATGTTAAGTGAATGAAGTCAGGTTAATTAGCCCATGGTGACGATAACACCAGGGATGGTTTCCAGGAGGAAACGCGTGGTCAACCTGACATGGCACTTTGCTAGCAATGGGGTAATCTAAATATATATATTTACATATAACTCAAAGGCAAAAAGTAAAGGACATAGTGAAATATTAATAATTAGTAAATTACTGACATGTATGTAATATTAAGTAATAATATAGGCAAATAGACTCACGAGTTGACCATACCTCTGATGGCAAATGGTAACCGTAATCTAAATATATATAACTCAAAGGTGACTAACATAGTGATCTATCAACGCACAGCCCAAACCACTGGACTGGCCCGATCCGGGCTGAAATTTGGCATGCAGGTAGATGTAATGACGTAGGCATCCGCTAAGAAAGGATTTTGATTAATTCTACCCCCAAAGGGGATGAAAGTGTGTATGAAACTTTGTCAATTTCAAACCGATCTGGCTGAGATTTTGCATGAATAAAGCTACTATGACGTAGGTATACCTTAAGAAAGGATTTTGATAAATTCCATCATCCAAATTAACGCGAGCGAAACCGTGGGTAAAAGCTAGTTAATCCATATCACTAACAATCTCCTTCCCCCACAGGTATAATATTAATAATAATAATAATATCTCAGGACAATTTACACAGCGCCATCTAGTCCCAAGATAAGCAGAGCTTGTGGACGGACTTTGGATACCAGACAGCTGATATAAATACATGTATACACTTTTATCGGTCTCGGTGGTCTAGTGGTTTAAGGGGTTACATGGGTTTCACGGTTTCAAAAAATCGAAAAATTTTTTTTTGTCTTATTAAATTCTATAACATCTCTAGAATATTGTCCTAAATTTTCAAGTTGATCCGACTAATAGTTTCGGAGATACAGCCTTGAAAAGGTGGACGGTCGAGGTCTAAAAAAGGTATAGGCTGAGGGCGCAGTAGGTAAAACGCAGCTGCAGCTCATCTATTGTTAGCTGTAATTCTTGTCCCTTTTTTTCTTTATATAAGGTAAACTACTGGAAAATATTTCATTTGGTGATTTCTCGTTAAACTACGAAGTTCATTTTGAGGTTATAAGTGTTTGTTGTGAATTTTATTCGATAAAAAATGCCGTTTAAAGTGTCTAGAACCCAGATAACGGAAGGTGTTCGTATCAGCATTATTATTAATTATGCACGGTATGGACCTAAAACTTGGCCCAAATTGCCATGAATATGCCCGAAATATGGATGAAAACCGGGTGACCGCAGCCGAAAAGAAGTCTACCAGCTTATTTTTAAAGTTTCATTCCACAAGATTCGTGAAGCCAGGATTCGTCATAGACTGGAGCAAAAGGATGCCCTGGACAATGCAGGTGCAGCAGGTTCTCTACTTTATGGCCCAGGAATCGACGAATCAATGTAAGTTCAAATAAAAAAAAAAAAATACTATCTTTTATTGTCTCTTAAAACTTTAAACGCGTTTTTCTCAAAACTATGTTTTCAAAGACGGTTGTCAAGATTTCTCGCGAACTACTCAACCGATCTTGATGAAATTTTACACAGGTCTTCGAGATATCATTTACAAGGTCTTGAACGAAGGACTTTTTTTTTATTTTAATTACAACTATTTAAAAAAAAAAAATGTCGAGAAATTTTCATCGAAATTTGCATTTTTTTTATAAAAACGTCTGCCAAAAATCCAATTTTCATTTATTTTTTTTTTCCTTCGTCCAATACCTAGTTTATTGTCTTTACTAAAACACGTATTTTTTATTTTTATTTCAGATGATCCTGAAAGAAGTTCTGCTGACAACGCGGAGGCACCTTTTTTCCGAGGGACTGCCGGAAATGGCGTCGTAATGACCGCCATTTTGATATTTTTTTTTGACAATTTTGCAAAATGTTTATTAAATATGTATCTTTTAAATAAAAAAAAATTCATTAAAATATTTCATTTTTTATATGTAAAAAAAATTATTGAAAAAAGGCCGTTTTTTGCCCGAGGAAACCCATGTAACCCCTTAATACAATGCCTTACTTCCGATGGTCGCGGGTTCGATTACTCGCACGGCGCAAACATTTGTATTCATGAGTATGATTGTTTGTGTCGGTCTGACCGACCGGTTATGAGTCCTAGATAACTGATTCAAATACATAGATTTTTTTTTTCTATTATACATATATAATATGTATGTATTTAGAAATATATTTTTTTTTATATCTATGGATTTGAATCAGTTATCTAGTACTCATAACATAAGCTTTACCTACCTACCCTTTTGAAGGTGCTAAAAAAGATTACGTGATGAATGTACGGAACGTACCATGTAATTATTTATATGAAGACCCGGTTAACATATATAAATAACAGAACCTTTATTTACAGATGTGGACAGCGTCGACTGTTTTAATTATTATTATGGGACAAGGCTTGGTACTGGGCTACCCAACTTTACTCATAGCAGCTCTGGACTCCCCCATTAACTCTGATCTTACTTCTATGTCGTGGTTAGGTAATGACTTAATACCAAATTTGATTTTGTTTGTTAACAGACATTTGATACGACACAACAGATTTATCTATACATATAAATAAAATTGGAGTGTCTGTTTGTAATATTGAAATAATATTTTTTTTACTACATGCATATGAATATAAATACGGTACATACACCTAAAAAACATTTTTTTTACAATTTTTGTCTGTCTGTTTGTTCCGGCTACTCTCTGTAATGGATGGACCAATTTTGACGGGACTTTTATTGGCTGGTAGCTGATGTAATAAAAAGTAACTTAGGCTACTTTTATTTTAGTAAAGTTTCATTCCACACGGACGAAGTCGCGAGTACAGCTAGTGAATAATATTATTGAAGAAATATAGAAGGAAAGAGAGGAAGGAGATAGAAGAAGGAGAGATTACGATACATTTATATTAAGCAGGTTAAGGCAAAATTTGGAGCTGTGTCGTATCAAATACTAAAGCGATTGATGGAAAAACGTGAAAAGTGGCAAGATCTCCACCGATAAGAGCGAGGTTCCTAAATTATTACAGAATTAATGTTAATAAACAGCCTACAAAGGCGTAGATACCTCAGTTTTACCTAATACAGCCACCAAACATTTTTGATTGTAAGCTATTTCAATTGGAGAATGAGATTCCGGATTACATATGGCAGTGAATTTACTGACCCTCGTATTCTGGCAATACCTAAAAACTTTGGATCTCAATTTACATTTCGGTCTAACCTCCATTAAAACTATATTTTCCATTGACAATATACTCATAACAGATCTGATTAATCTGATAAATGGCAATAGGTTCACTTCCTACCACATTAGATTCATATGTAGATATGAATATTCGAGCAAGTCATTCGTTGTATTCATTATGACGTCAACAGTCATTATTACCTTTGATTACTCCATCTATAAAAACATCCTTATTAATTTTCTTATTTTTTTCAGCGGCATCTTTCGGTCCATCTACAATGACAGGAGTCATATTAGCATCCTTCTGCATGGACTGGTTGGGTCGTAAATCAGCTTTTCTATTATTAATACTACCCGGTACTACTGGCTTACTGATAATGTATTTCGCTCAAAGCTACTTACCGCTTCTAATCGGTCGTGTGCTTAGCGGGATAACGACAGGAGGAACGTACACAGTAGGTGTGGTCACCATCGCAGAATGCGTTCATCCCAAATATAGATGCATGTACTTGAATCTTAAAACAGCCAGTTTCACTTTAGGAACTGCAATACTTCAGGGTCTCGGAGATTATATTCATTGGAGGAGCGCAGCTATCGTTATATTAATTCCACATGTGATGTCTTTAGTAATGGCTTCAATGTGGATAGAAAGTCCAGCTTGGTTCGCCTCAAAGAAACGATTTGACGAATGCGAAGCTGCTTTCTTTTGGATCAGAGGTAAAAGCGATTCTTCCAAAACGGAATTGAACGAAGTAATGAAAGCACAAAATTGTCCCACAAAAGCAAAAACAAAAAGTATAGTTGGATTATTAGAAACTATTACTAGAAAAGATTTCCTCAAACCATTGCTAATAAGTACCATTGCCGCTATTGTTATGGAGGCGTCTGGTAGACACATATTTCCAACTTATGCTTTACAAATTATGACTGATATTTTAGGGCAAAGTGAAGTTTATTACTACACTTTGACCATAAACTTAATAATAACAATAGGCGCTGCATGTTCTTCTTTATTAGTACGTATGGTAAAAATTCGTACTCTCTTATTTACTACAGGATCTGCTGCATTAGTTGCTCTATTTTTAACATCATTTTATCTTTTTTTAGTTTCAACAAATATTTTATCGAATGACAGACCCTGGGTAGCAATTGCTCTTCTCATAGTCTACTTTTTTCTAGCGAATTTAGGTTGCAATCCAATACCGCTAGCATTATTAGCTGAAGTATTTCCATTAGAGCATAAGATGATTGGAAATATTGCAATAGGAGCGATTTCGTCAATGATCATAATGGTTAGTTTAAAAGTCACTCCTTATTTATTAGCTGATATAAAGACGTATGGAACGTTTGTTATTTACGGCACTATTACTTTAATAGGGTTATTGATCTTATATTTCATCATGCCCGAAACAAAGGATAGGACAATGCAAGAGATTGAAAACTACTTCGGAGGTGGAAGATCAAGAAATAACAATGAAAATGAAATGGAGAATGAAGCGAATAGAAAAATTATTGAAAATCAATAAAAATTAAAAGTATTAAAATCTTATTTCCTTATTCCTTGTTCAAAATCTACCCTATACCCGTTGTTAAGTCCTGGATAGCCAATAAAACTAGCGCACTGTGGTAAGTGTAGGATGATTTAGTAAGCCGGTAAGTGTCGGGGCCGGTCGGACCAGAAGTGCCGGTGTCTGCCACAGTTGCCGATGCGCAGCACCGCCACCGCAGCCCGCGGAGCGGTGAGTTGAGTGCGTAGACACCCGTGGTAAGCACAGATTATTAATTTAGAGCCCGTTTAGTAACGACTTATGATGTTATCTGTGTTATGAGTTATTATTAGTTAATAATCCTTTGTTATATTAGTTAATAATGAATTATTAATCCTTATTCTATTGATTTTAAAACTATAAACACGTGTCTAACAGTATATATATTATACATATTATATATTATACAGTCTACTTCTTCTTTCGTTTCAACGGCAACTAAATATATTTTCTCCAGAACATTGCGATGACTTTTGCGCATTCTGTCGCACCTCTTAGATTTTCCTTTGTGCAGGATGTTGGGCGTACAGTCTACTAGCAATATATATTATATATACTGTATTAATTACTAACCAAAATTATCCTTTCCAGTCTAAACACCAGTACATGGTGTTTTGAATATAGCTTCACGTAGTATCGTGTTAAGACATTACATACAAATAGAATAATAAAAATAATTAGCCAATTTATAATCATCACGAAAATGTGCAAGCAAATGATAAGAATGATAATTTCCTGTTATGATAATTATGCTAATTTTGAAGCAAATGTTCTACCGACAAAAACTTCCTTGGATGTAACTGGGAAGTTTGAAATTTTATCATAAGCTATTATTTTATTATGGCAATATTTTCCATTTAGAGAATTGCGTCTATTGTTTTGTATCTAAAAATAAAATGAGAACGGTTGGTAACATTACATCCAATACATAGTTTTTCAGAACTCTTATGATATGTGAAATCTACCGTCAGTTCACAATGATTTCGAGCTAAGAAGAACTGCCAAGAAACTCAGCTCGTATTCTTTTTACAATATTGTACATGTTTACAATAATACATCGATTATGACTGAATATCATCGTATAATCCCTATCTCAATAATAATCACAAAGGTTCACATTAAGTACAAACTCTCTCTCTCTCTCTCTGTCTCTATCTAACACACACACACACCCAAACACTTCACACACACACATATACGCCACAAAGCGTAAAAAAACAGCAAAAGCTGTGAAAATGAGACAATAATAATAATAACAAAATGTATTTAAAATACAAGCTAATCGAATATACACCTTCTTGGACCCCTCCGATCGATCCCCCGTTCAATTCAAACGGGGATCGAAATTAGGACGGCCTGAGTCAAGGTTGGAAACTGAACGGTGCCCTCAGACTAAAGTCGAATCCGTCAGGCGGGAGTTGGCCTTCAGCCGCTCCATAAGTCCTTCCGCGGGTTTGGAGTGCCATCTTCACTCGCCCCCTATCGTCCGGTGAAGCTATCAAGGTCATTGCTGACGATAATGATTAGAGATTGAATTGAAATTTTACATATTGACTGAATTATAGTGCATATAGGGTGCTATCGTACATCCGTTCGGCGGAGTTGCCTTCAAGTGCTCCGTAAATCCTTACGGGTTTGGAGTGCCATCTGCACTCGGCCTCTATCGTCAACCGACCACTGTTTTCTTTTGTACTGGACTACTCTAATGTTGGTCGCTGTTGGCCAAAAGCATTAGAGTAGTCCGAACAAAAAAACCTTCGTGTTCTTTTTAAATCTGTTAAAAAAGTTTAAAGATATCTTATAGTTAGACGAGTACATCCATAGTGCTGTCTTTTAAAACCTTTTGTAATTGCTAGACCTACATTTTTAAAACTTATTGAAGTTACAAAAAAATATTTTTTACAGCAATTTGATTTAGTACTTTTGTTATAAATCCTGACCTGTTTTCTTATCTGTTCTTCACGACTGAAGTTACTTTTATATGTAATATTATCTTATCTGTGCTTTTATTGAACAAAACATTAATAATATATTCGTAATACTCGCTGTACCCGCGACTTCATCCGCGTGGAATTTAACTTCTAAAATAAAAGTAGCCTAAGTTACTCCTTATTACATCAGCTAACTGCCAAAAAAGGTCCCGTGAAAATCGGTCTATACATATAAATAAAATTGGAGTGTCTGTTTGTAATATTGAAATAACCATTTTTTACTACTTGCATATGAATGTATGTCTGTCTGTCTGTTTGTTCCGGCTAATCTCTAAAATGGCTGAACCCATTTTGACGGGACTTTTATTGTAATGTAATAGCTGACGTAATAAGGAGTAACTTAGGCCAATCTTGTTTTAGAAAAATAAAGTTAAATCAGCAGGTGCAGCTAGTTCTTAAATATATCTATAAGTTTAGAATAATATTCATTAATTTTGTATGGTAGTTATTGAAATTCCTATGAAACATTAATTTTAATATAATCATATACAACTGTACAAATATTTGTTAGTTTAAATTAATTATTGCTACAATATTAGAACGAAATAATACCTATATAATGTATGCAGGCTGAATACACTGGACAAAATATTTAATATCGTTAAAATCTATAAGCACTGTATTCAAATAAATTATTATATTTGATTTGCATGTGTGTATGTATATGTATTGTGTCTGACGGCCTCGGTGGTCTAACGGTTTAGCACAACGCTTTACTTCCGATGGTCGTGGGTTCGATTCCTCGAAAGGTGCAAATATTTGTGTTCATGAGTACCTATAATTATTTGAATCATTGCATACTATAAAACATAGTTGCTGTCGCTGTATGTCCCTATATATGCTTAAATGTTTAAAACTACGCAACGGATTTTGAAGCGGTTTTTTTAATTGATAGAGTGATTCTAGAGGAAGGTTTATATATATAACACATGTACACCCGTGCGAAGCCGGGGCGAATAGATAATTCTGCTAGCTAATTATGAATCTTTTAAAAAAACATCGAAGTATGTATATCAATTGTCTAGTACTCATAACAGCTCTGTTTACCGTACGACTAGATGGCGCTGTGTTATTCATTCAGGATTATTTATTATATGTAAATTGTATGGATACTTACTTTAACATAACTCTGAGTATATTGTTTATTATTATTATACCTTTCATCATCATCATCATCATCTGCTTCTTCCTTATCCCATTTATTTGTGGTTGGCGTAATGTTTTTTTCTCTTCCATTCATCTCTGTTCGCAGTCATCCCGTTATTTACTCCCTTTCTCACCATATCATTTTTGTCACAGTCCATCCATCTCTTTTTCGGTCTTCCTCTACCCTTACACCATCCACATTCATTTGTAACACCTTTACTAGACAGAAATGTAATCATAAACTCCTCTTCATCCTAAGGTTGCCTAGAAGAGAGAAATCTAGGCAATAGCAGTAAGCCTGCCCATTGTCGCCTCTTTGTCTTGCTTATTGTTATCCTTACTAATATTATAAATGCAAAAATAACTCTGTCTGTCTGTCATGCCTTCAAGTTAAAATTCCAAAAACGATTTTTCCGACAATTTTTACTGAGAAAAAAAAATGGGACATGAAAGATTGTACATTTAATCTCCTGTTTCAATCCCGTTGTATCGTTATTTTAAAAGTTAGCTTGAAACTTATTTTTAGGCTGTTGATTAAATGTAAATAAATATGACATTCAAAGTTTGGAAATTCGTAATTCCTCTTCTATTTCACGATGAAGATGATGGATGAAGTCGCAGGCACAGCTAGTATATATACAGTAGTATATGTAAATTAACCCCTCCGATCGATCCCCCTTCCAATTTTTGTCTGTCTGTCTGTTTGTTCCGGCTAATCTCTGAAATGGCTGGACCGATTGTGATGGGACTTTTTTTGGCAGGTAGCTGATGTAATAAGGAGTAACTTAGGCTACTTTTATTTTAGAATAATTCATTTATTTTAGAAAAATAATGGTAAATTCCACGCGGACGCAGTCGCGGGAACAAAGAGTTAGTAATAATAAATGACAATAAGAAAGATATTTTTTAGACGTTTATTATAGCAGAGCGCAGTGACAGAGGTGTCTATAAAACAATTGTATAAAAAGAATTCTCATATTTAAAATATGGATAAACGAATATACATATCTACCAATTCTAATTGTAGATCTAACAAAATTCGTATCTGTCAGGCGGGACTTGGCTCTCAGCTCCATAAGTCCTTCCTTGGTTTGGAGTGCCATCTGCACTCGCCCCCTATCGTCCGGTGAAGCTGTACACCAGCTGCGGCCAACAGCATTAGAGTAATCCGAAAAAATGTAAACGTTTTTAACTAATAAAGACTTTTTAATTACATTTTAAACAAATTAATAAATGTGAAAGTTCTTAATATGAATAATTAATTGTATTCATAGTACAATAGATTAAACTATAAAGAAATTAACTTATGCAAACAATTCTGCACGGAGGCTCTGGTCTTTGGCCTTGTGTTGCGAATTTAGTTGCTCGGTGGCTATAATTTGAAGCACCAGCTTTTACCAACTGTAATAACATAGTTGATTCGAATAGGATTTATTAATAATTATTACAATGTCATGATGACTACCCTATATTATATACTATGACAGTTAAGTGAAAACTGATTTTACAGATATAAATTCAAATATCAATTATAATAATTGAATAAACATAGTGATTAAATTAGTAAAAATCATAATGTGTAACATACTTAATTGTTTCTCCCCGTTTTGGAAACAGGTAAGTACTTTTATTGGATTTAATTGTTGGTACGATACTGTTATAGGGTATGAGCACAGCTTAACCTAAGATTTTTACTGTTTAGGGAGCAGAGTTTCACCTTATATCATAAGGATGAATGTAACATTGAATTGTACAATAAATAAATATATGAAAATATAATAGTAAATATTATAATAATAAAAAGTAAATATAACAGACACACAGACGAGTAAGCTGTCTGTCATTTCAAGTCGAGCATATTTTAAGTAAAAGCCCTATAACCAATGCATTTAAAGAATTATATAAATGAACTTGCTTTCGCCCGCGGCTTCGCTCGCGTAATTTGTCCCCTTTGGGATGGAATTTATCAAAATCTATACTTAGGGGATGCCTACGTTATAGTAACTTTATGCATGCAAAGTTCAGCCCGATTGGTTTAAAATAGACAAAGTTTCATACAAACTTTCATCCCTTATTTTATCCCCTTGGGGGTTAAATTAATGAAAATCCTTTCTTCTATCTGCATGCCAAATTTCAGCCCGATCTGTTCAGTGGTTTGGGCTGTGCGTTAGGTAGATGTTGTGGCATAGGCATCCGCTAAGACAGGATTTTGATTAATTCTACCCCCAAGGGGATAAAATAAGGGATGAAAGTTTGTATGAAACTTTGTCAATTTTAAACCGATCGGGCTGAGACTTTGCATATATAAAGCTAATATGACGTAGGCATCCCCATAGAAAGGATTTTGATAAATTCCACCCCTAAGAGGATAAATTAACGCGAGCGAAGCCGCGGGCAAAAGCTAGTTGAGTTATATAAATTTAGATAAGATATAATAATTCTAAATATTTAAGAATTAGTTAAAAGAAGAGTAATAAATGCATTTAAAATAGATTTATATAAATAAAGAAAATATAATAGAATAATTATGAATATATAAGAATTACTTTAAAAAACACTATAGTAGCTCCTGGCACAGGCATTTTTATGCTTAAAATAATTCTTCTATAACTGTATACAATTTAGTAAAAATTGTATTACCTAAGAATTTCTGAATTTGTAAATGTCGAAATAGAAATAATCTTTATTCAAATAAACTTAATATAAGCACTTTTGAATAGTCAAGTTTTTTGATTCTACCGCTCAATCGGAATGCAGACTCATCACAAGAAGAATGAGCAAGAAACTTGTGTGTTGCTCTTTTAAATAAATATTGATTTACTTATATTTAATTAAGAACAACGATTAGGCATGCGACAATCAACATAAAAACCTACTACGCACTACGCACTTAATCTCTATTCTGTAGAGTTAAAAAATCATATATGCTGATCGAACTATTAAATTGTTGTTTATTTAACATTTTTTAAAGACCGTTTGTTTAGTTGTGTACTTATATAGATTGTGTGTCTGACATTAAATGATAACCCCGTACATGAACAACTATTGCCATGCACGTTTGTCAAAATTGCTAACTGGATTTTTGTTTCAGATATGGACTGCCTCGACTGTTCTTATCCTTAACATAGGACAGGGTTTAATACTCGGCTACCAATCGATTTTAATAGCAGCTCTGAGTGCACCCGACTCTCCCATTAAAACAGACGTAGCCTCTATTTCATGGCTAAGTAATTTTTTTTGTTTTTTTTATATAAATCTTACTAATATTAAACGCGAAAGTTTGTGAGTATGTATGGATGTTTGTTACTCTTTCTCGCAAAAACTGATGAATGGATTTTGATGTAACTTTTTTATTTTGTTTTTTAACACAGGGGACAAACGAGCACGCGGCTCACCTGATTATGAACATTTCCCCTTGACAAAAAAAGCGGAACGGGACGGGACGATATGAACGGGACGATCGAGTATCAAACGGTCTCTAATATGTGAAGTTGAGAATTTTGTTATAAAAATAAAGTGTACAGAAACACAACATTTCCTATCACAGAAAATACTGACGCATGTAAAATAAGAGATAAACATTATAGAATAAACAAGAGAGAGAGGCAATGGACGGCCTTGAACATTATAAATTTCTTTTCTAAAATCGCGTTTCTCCTCGGAAACACCTGTATAAATAATATTGAAACGCAATAACAACTAAGTTGTCGGTGGCACTTCCGAAATAATAATAATATGTAGGAAGTATATTATAGAGTGCAAATTTACGTCACCTTTTTATACCATATGTCGACTTTGTAAATAGTTACCGTAACCTATTACCACCTGAAACACCAGGAGTGTAAGTGCGCTTAATGGAGGCTTAAGAACTCTTTAAAAACCCCTCACTTCCAAGTACCAAGTACTTCATTTCACAATCCCCTAGCTACGTTCTGTACTGATATACTAAGAGAAATGTCGGATTATTAAGTGTTACGTTTACAATAACATCGAAAGTTACTGTTGAGAATATGTAAGCCACTGCAGTAAGGGTATATTTATAATTTATTTCTTTCTTTTCAGCTGCATCATTTGCCCCAGCCGCATTGACAGGAGGTCTACTATCATGCTTCTTTTTAGGCTGGCTTGGTCGGAAGAAATCTTTCATATTATTCACATTACCAGCTATTATTGGTCTATTACTAACCTATTTCGCTCAAAATTATATATCTCTTCTCATTGGACGAATGTTGAATGGATTAACATCAGGCGGATTACATTCAATAGGCATTGTATCTATAGCTGAATATGTTCATCCAAAATATAGATGCATGTTTTTGAACCTCAAAACAGCAACAATAACGTCCGGAGTTGCAATTATCCACGGACTGGGAACGTATCTTCATTGGAGAGCAGGAGCTATTGTTATATTAATTCCCCATGGGGTAGCCTTTGGAATGGCTACTTTATGGACCGAAAGCCCCTCGTGGTACGCCTCTAAAAAACGGTTTGACGAATGCGAAGACTCCTTCTATTGGATCAGAGGACGAAGCAACAGTTGCAAGTGTGAAGTCAAAGAACTAATCAAGGCACAGAGAGAACGTTTGTCGAATGATAAGAAAATTATAAGACGTGTATACATTTTGCAATTACTCAGCAAAATTACTAGAAAAGACTTTCTGAAACCGCTTTTAATATCTATTATAGCTATTATTATTATGGAAATGTCCGGGAGACATGTATTCCCGTCTTATGCTTTACAGTTCATGAGTGATATCATAGGCCCCCAAACTGAGTACCATTATTATTACACTGTCATTTTAGATTTGATTATTACTATTGGAGCTATTTGTTCATCTGCTCTAGTCAGATTAATAAAAGTTCGTACACTCTTGTTTACTACTGGATTTACAGCCTTAACTGCGTTGTTTTTAGCTTGTATTTACTTTTTCTTAGTTTCGAAAGGTATAATATCAAACGATAGACCCTGGATAGTAGTTCTGCTTCTTGTAGTATATTTCTTTTTCGCTAATTTAGGTTGTAGTCCAATACCAATAGCGTTGGCTGGCGAGATATTTCCATTAGAATACAGGGCGGTCGGTAATTGCATGGTAGTAGTGTTTGGATCTGTGATTTTGATGGTCAGTTTAAAAATAATTCCATATTTGTTAATAGAGATTAAAGCATACGGAACGTTTGCAAGTTTTGGCGCCATAACCGCACTGGGTTTATTCATCTTATATTTTATCCTACCAGAGACTAAGAATAAAACATTGCAAGAGATTGAAGACTATTTCAGTAATCGAAGTGTTCAACATAAAAATGTAAGTGAAATAGATGATACGGAGAATCAGAAAATTATTAATGATATTTAAAAGTAATAAGATAAAATTGTTAAATTGTATCACAGCCGAGCTTCTGTAACTCTAATAATGACAATTAAATGAAAGATGTATATATATATAAATAACTACAAATTGATAGCTAGGTAACAAATTATAATAAAGGCAATAAATTATAAAGATAAATAATAATGATAAAGATAAAGATTATAACAGTGCAAATGACTTGGTTATAGGTTCACATTTTGTAGCGGAAGATCTGCGTTAGTGTTTGCTTTAAGGTTTATACTATTAATGAAAAAGATAAAGATTATAATAATGCAATTGGTTTGGTTATAGGTTCACATTTTGTAGCGGAAGATCTGCGTTAGTATTCGCTTTCAGTTTACACTATTAATGAAATGGACCATTTGACAGTTGCAATTGTAGACAGTACTATTTGTTTGTATTTTCAACTGTTAAATGCTTAATGAATTTATGTTATTATGTTTAATATCATTAGCATGTGAGAGAATATTCAAAGCGGCAGCCTAACTACCGCTTCTTTTTTTATGTGGGGAAAATCCCTCATGGAGACCAGGCCGTATTAGGGACGGGTATCAGGGTTGGACGGACGGGTACTGTGAGACTCCTTATTCACCAAAAACCCTACGATATTCCTCCTCGCCGCCATAGTGCCAGGGTCGCGGATCGAGCTGGCAATCAACCCCAGCGGCGGTTAACCGCAAGCGGGCCCTACGAGGAGGTCATCCCCCTCACACTCGAACCTAACCACCGCTACTGGATGCGTTACGACCTTCTCTATTGCTGATCAATTCTCATTCCGATCGTTATTGAGTCTACACTTATTTGATATACGTGTTTCGCCTCTGAACGACTCATCATCAGGCGTTGAGCTTGAATTTAGCGAATAAAATCAACAAATATCCATTGTATATAGGATAATCATGTTAGTAATTAGTGAGTTAGAAATAATTTAATTAAAAATTGAGACTACTAAATAATAATTTGTTTTATTTATTTATTAATTTGTCGAAACTTTAACAGATATACCAATAATTGTCCATATATTTTGATACAAAATATCATCTAGTTCACGTCACCTATTTCAATCGTCAATTGTGGAGTCACCTTCCAGCTGTAACTTTTCTGAACTGATACGATATTGAAACCTTCGAGAAAATAGCTTATTCCTTCTTAAAAGGTCGGCAACGCACTTGCAATTCCCCTGGTGTTGCGGGTGCTCATGGGCGGCGGCAATCGCCGGGTGAGCTGCAAACTCTTTTGTCCCCTATGCTATAAAAAGGCAGCTTTGTAGAAATAATAATAAAAATAATATCCCAGGACAATTCACACAACGCCATCTAGTCCCAAGCTAAGCAGAGCTTGTGTTATGAGTACTAGACAACTGATATAAATACATACATGCATTTTTTTTTGTAAATACATACATACTCATGAATATAAATGTTTGTACCGTGCGAGGAATTGAACCCGCGACCATCGGATAGTAAAGCGGTATGCTAAACCACTAGACCACCGAGGTTGTTGAAGCCTATTACTCTGTAAACGATTATTTTGTAGACGACATTGTCCATACTACTATGTAATATTATGTTATCTGTGATACTACGTAAGTTGGTCAGTAATTTGTCAGCCAAAGGATTTCTTTATTTTTAAGATTGATGACCTTGATGGTCTAACGGTTTAGCACACCATCTTACTTCAAATAGTCGCGGGTTCGATTTCTAGCACGGTTCAAACATTTGTATTCATGAGTATGATTGTTTGTATCGGTCTGGGTGTTTTCTATATATAATATGCATTTACTAAAAAATATCTATGTATTTGTATCAGTTAACCAGTACCAATAACACAAGCTTTAGCTAGCTTAACTTGGTTCTAGATGGCGCTGTGTGAATTGTCCTGAGTGAAAATATATTAGACAAATACACTACTTAAATTCTACGTAGGTAATATTTGAAGATTAAAACTTACTAATAAAAAATAGATTTATCACTCCGTCCAGTTCGGATGACTACTTCAGTGGAAAACTCCCTAGATCCTGAACATTGTACATTTTATATTCAATTTATATACACCTTATTGCACTAGATAGAGGAGATGATATAAACACGTTGTTGCAGCTTAATAGTCTGATAATTCTCAATAGTTAGTCTCCTTGAAAATTAAATTAGATATATGTACATACGGTTGCCTCCAATTATATTTAGTAAATACATAAAACAATCCTGGTGCTGCTCATAGGTATATCTTATATATAAAATTCTCGTGTCACAGTTTTCGTTCCCATACTCCTCCGAAACGGCTTGACCGATTCTCATGAAATTTTGTGAGCGTATTGAGTAGGTCTGAGAATCGGCCCACATCTATTTTTCATTCCCCTAAATGTTAGGGATAGTCCACCCCTAATTTTTTATTTTTATTTTAAGGCAAAACAACGTTTGCCGGGACAGCTAGTATAATATATGTATTTTATAATTAAAATTAAAATAAAAAATGCAGGGATCTGCTATTAAAAGGTTTTCAGATGGAAATATTTGTTTCAATTGGCATTACAGATAATTTGATATTATTAAATTAAAACAAATATGTAAAGTCAACGTTTAATGATGTTCAAGTTTTTCATCGAAATTATATTTTTACAATTTTTTTTACTATATACTATTATTCTACCTCTAAATGTTCCTTGATTTATACATTAACTAGCTACTCGCCACGGGTGTACATGTATTATACATATAAACCTTCCTCTTGAATTATCTATTGCTACTGCATTAAAATCCGATGCCTAATTTAAAAGATCTAAGCTAACAGACAGCGAAATCGACTTTATTAATTATGTAAAATTATTACAATATTAGGAACATATTTCTACAAAATCGCTTTTTTAAAATAACTGCCAATAAGCTCGAGTCCCATCCTATACAACTAATAGTTACTGTTAATCATTTTTATGTTTACATCATCAATCACATTCTCTTCATTTCTAAAACATCCATTATTGAAATAATATTCAATCTCTTCCAGCGTTCTGTCTTTTGTCTCTGGTAATATGAAATACAGTATTAACAGGCACGTAGTGATCAACGCACCAAAAACTGCTAACGTACCATAAACTTTTATATTCAAAAATAAATGTGGTGTCACTTTCATAATACCCCAAAATATTACGGACATTGTAAAACAAACTATTACAGAACCTGCGGCTCTGTGTGAAGTAGGAAATATTTCCCCCATAAAAACAAGAGGTAATGTAGTACAACCTAAATTTGCTAATGCGAAATATGAAAATAATAATGATATAGAAACCCATGCTCTATTAGTTAATGTACCATTGAATGTTAAGAAAATATGAGCACTTGCTAAAATTAATATAACAACAGCCGCTAACCCTGTAGTTAATAACAGGCTACGTCTATCAAACACTCTCACTAAAACACATGAAAGTATACAACTTCCTACAATCACCAAATCAATACATAACGTATAATAGTACGTATAAGGTACATTTTCCGTTATTTCCCCAATAAACTGTAAAGCGTACGCTGGAAAATAATGTTTGCCGCTTGTTTCTAGTAATAAAAAAGCAAACAACATAACTACACTAGGTTTTATAAAGTCTCCTTTTGTAAATTTTTGTAAACGCACTTTGTTTTTTGTTCTGCTTCTTAAACGTTCTCTGTTTAGTATGTATTGCTCTTTATGTAGCTTGATCATCTCTTGGAGTTCTGCCATTGACTTCTCATCAGTCCCTCTTAACCAAATGAAGGCTTCTTCGCATTTCTTGAATTCCTGTCTGGACGCTAACCAAGCAGGACTCTCTGGCCAAAAACAAGCCATTCCAAACGGCACTACATAGAATATTAATGTTAACGCTGCTAATAATCTCCAATCTAAGGTACTTCCTGAAATATGAATGATTGTAATCCCAATATATACTGAAGCAGTTTTTAGAATCAGAAAAATACCTCGATATTTCGGACTTGTATATTCGCCTATTATGAATGATGTTAGCGATAAATTTCCAGGAGTAATACCGCATAGGATACGGCCAATGAGGAGCACTGGAAAGCTTTCAGCGAAATAAATGAACAACCATCCAACTATTCCTGGTAAAATTATTAATAAGTAAGTCATTTTTCGGCCGCACCAGTCCATTAAAGTGGATGATAGAAGCAGTCCAATAATAGAAGACAATGCTATGCAGGATACTGAAAAAGACAAAAATAATAATTATTAATCTAAAAACATGAAATATAGTTGGAACATCTGTATAATGCTATTGACCGCAGTTGGCCTTTATATCTTGACCAAACGATATGTAAATGAGTACAGAGAGCACTGGAAACCTGCGAACGTACTAATGGAGCAGCCAACTCCTGTTCGGCGACCATATTAAGACAAACAGTCAACACTAGTATTCCAACCTATGTAGATCACATAGACCAGATGATGCCTCGTTTAGAGGTAAAATTGGTATTATTGAATCAAAATAATAGTTGGAATTTGATCAGTAAAGAGGACAGTCGTAAGGCTCCCAGTAAGAGTAGTCAAGTTTTCGCAGTGAATATTTATGATCTTACACAAGCTAATGGTAGAGGAATTAAACAAAGTAATATAAAGTAGTATAGATTATGAAATTGACTTCCGCGAAATAACACCTAATTCGATAAAATATTCTATACATCCGAAAATATTCTAAGAGAATAACAACAAATACTTCAAGAAACAAGTGAAATACAGGATACTGCTGTTTCTGAATATAGGCGATAATTACCGCTTACTGTCAGCTTTTTTGCTATTCAAATTACATAAAAAAAACGATATATTACCTAGATGTGATGCTCTATGTATGTCAACTTGGATAACGGACGTAGGCTGCTGCAGTGCTGGCAGCAGTATGGTTGTGAACCCCATCACCATTCCTTGACCGGCAGTCAACATCAGAATACCGAACGCAACCCATACCTGTGAACGTAATAATAGATTCATATTAAAATATCAGTCAATTGGACAATGTTCTTGTAGAGCCAAATACCGTACCAGATGACGATAAACTGCTAGGAGCTCTGTCCAAGGTTGACAACGAAGAAAATATACTGATACCATCATAAAAGCCACAACCACTCTATCAAGAGTGTTAAAAAAGATTCTTTAAATATAATAAAATCGTAAAATCGTAAGATTACACGCAAAAAATGTCTGGATGAGTAAGGACGAAATTTTCTCAGAATTTGGTATAAAATTTGGGTCAGCATATAAAACTAGCGGTCTGACCCGGCTTCGCGTGGGTAGTATAATTAATAGGGGGAATAATGCATGTTAATAATCAAATTGTTCTGACTCTTTATCAGTGACGCCGCAGAATGTACGAGAATACAATTTTAATATAAGAAAAAGAAGAAATATGTACCTACACGTATCTTACAGGATAAAAGCCGTGGCATCATACTTCTCTAGGATGGCTACATGTGAGTGGTACCACATTTATCACCTGACAACGTGATGTAGATAGAAAACGGTTACCGCTTACCATCAAGCAGCTTTAGCTTATTAGCCATCCCATTCCAAGAGGAATTTCTTTTCATTCCATGGATTCACCGTGCGGGTGCCGGATCTATCGTGTGGGTGCCGGATCTAACGTGTGGCAGAGAAACTCCGAGCAGCTCCCAGGACTTGAGACCCGGGTGTAGTTTTAAGGGACCCTTATGCCTTAGGTCATCACTCACCTACACCGCTCGTGTTTCTTTCCCTGCCCAGCCATATTTGGTAGAGGGCCCTATACCGACGTAGGTCAACACTCACCTAAACCGCACGTGTCTCTCCCTGCCCAGAAAAATCTGGTAACAAAATGTATACGAACCTGTTTTAAAAATGGCGCTGAACAATATGTCTTGATACTCATTGAAGCCAACGTCTACACCTCCCACGTGTCCATCAATGTTATAGACAACTCTCGATACTGACGTACCAATGACAGTTGTGCAAATTTCCGCTTTTGTAATTTTTTTGTTATTATTACTGATAATGAAGGACAAGTCGATGTTGCACCTGTTGAAATGTTGATATAATAAAATAATAATCATCTTTGTCTTAAATAATAAACTGTTACAATTGCTGCTTATAACAAAATGTAGAGGTAATAATTGAGACAAAACGGTATATATCTATATCTTTATATGTATATAAAAATGACAAGTCACATTGTGACCGCGATAGACTCTTAAACTACTGAACCGATGGCAAATTTGGTTTGCACTTTCTGCGCCATTTGATCCAACTTGAAAGATAGGATGGCTTACATCTCAATTTATAGTCGCAATATTATTTTATTCAAGAACCTTAGCCACAGCAACGCGTGGCCGGGTCTGCTAATCAATATATATAATATAACATTTATGGATGGACAGGTTGAGGACTATCAACAAAAAGTGACAGACTTTCACATTTCACATTCAAATCTATTGAAGTCAGTAATTCCTGAGAATAGAATCTTATTCTTATTTTTAGGAAAATAACGAATATAGATAAACTTGATCGCTCTGTTATATTTTATAATAACTTTTTTGATCTGTGATTATTTATCTATGATTTTTTTTATTTTATTATATTGAATGCTTTTGAGTTATAAATTACTTTGTAGAAAAAGTAGTTTTAATTTATAACAAAATATACATAAGGAGTTTATAAATATGTTAATGAATAACATAAATATGTTAAATAAACCAAATAGCTTAATAGAGACATTTATACTGAATGCATTTGAAACAGGTTTTGTATCTGTTTGTTTGTTAGTTATGCATCAGTATTTCGTAGACTTGTCAAAAATCATGAAATTCAATTGACGCAATTCATTGATTATCCCTTGCAAGATCCATTACTAAGAATGCCTTCCAGCTTCAGATCAATATGATAGTGCACATACTTTTTTAATTGATGATATCTAATGGAATGATGCACCCGCCTGCGCTGACGGTTTATGCTGGCGGGGCACCAGTGGATGGATGATAAGATGAACATGAGGTCAGATCAGTTAGCACCTCATAACAAATGCACCAGCAATTTACATGATGGTTTACGTTATTAGTCCACATTACTAACAATCCCCTAGCCTAAAAATGTACAGTAACAGCAAAATTATTTAAAAGAGCAACACGCAAGTTTCTTGCTCGTTATCTTATGATGAAACAGCTTTCCGAATGAGCGGTAGATTGAAAAAAAAGTGACGACTATTCAAAAGTGCTTCAATGTAAGTTTATGTCAATAAATTATTTCGTATTCTATTCAAGAACCATCACATTATGTCGTCGAGTGGTATAAAATATCTTACTTAACATCAATTTAAAAAAGCCTAAGTATTTTAAGTTGATATTAAGTCATCTCTCAAGATATTTAAGTTACTTTTGGATTACGTCAAAACACAACAACTGTATACATATCTACATGGATTTAAATTTATAATATAAAAACATAAAATTGTATGGTTTTTTCTTCTTTGTTTGTGAGTAGGTACAAGTGTTAATTGTAATATATACTAATATTATAGAGCAGTTTCAGTGAGGTTGTAGGCAATAATCTCCGGATCTACGGGACCGATTTTGAAAATAATTATTGATTATTTTAATAGAGGTAGAAACTGCGGGCCATAACTAGTATTCTAATGTGTACTGCTAGATTAACCTTGTTACAAGAGTAGAAAATATTACGCAGTAATTGCGCAGTGCACTCATTTCTGATTGAAGACAGTAAAAAACATATTTTTATTATTCTTTAAACGTTATTTTTTAGTTTATACAAAGTATGTATATTTATATAAGCAAGTAAAAGATTAGTCGTTAGTGTTGTTTTTAAAAACTAAATACCGAAACCAAATCAAATACCTCCAAAGAAATTGCTACAGTCCCCGCATTGGCTGAATATATGTATTTACCAAAGCAAAGTCGATACGAGCAATTAAAAAATAAAAACAAACCTGTTTTAAAAATGGCGGTAAACTAATCTTAATACGCATCGATGTAATGTTGTAATTAAAACAATAGCCACGTTTAACTCTCACGATGTACAAATTTGGTATAATTCATGTATGAGTCGTGTCGAATACTAATATACAGGTACCAAGTATTTATTGTTCATGTAGTAGATATAGCTATAGTTTTAATTGTCATAGATAACGAATTTACGTAAGTTTAACGTTTTTCTTTCTATACAGCCAACTACAATAATTATAAACCTGTCTAACAATAAATAAAAGGCACTGAACTCAATACTAATGCAAATAAAAAATACAAATTTCAATGCAAAAATTTGCAATTTAAAAATGGAATTAATTTCGCGTAAGACGCGCGCAGGTGTCATGGCGTCATTTTGTTACGTCATGCCTATCACATCTCCCTTTGGTTATTGGCGTAGTTAGTATACAAACTCTATGATTATTTTATTAGTACTTTTCTTTAGTTTTTTTTTTTATGTAATTAGATTGACTAATAATCTGACGGCTCACCTGATAATAGCGAGATTCGTAGTGCTGTTCATTTATATATCACATCATCTTATGATATCTATGATACCTCTCATTTGTTGCCATACCAGAAAAATGAGATGTTATGCCTCTTTTCCATTCATTTCACTGCCTAATGGCACCCTAAAATGCAACATACCTTACAAATTAGGTGCTTGGCTTGTTGAGGACTTTTAGCCTTGAATTTTAAGATGTATAAATAAGAGTAGGGCTCGATTTGATCGTACACAAATTGATGATATTATTTCAAGGGATGATAATGGAATGGTGCACTCGCCTACACTAACGGTATACGCTGGCATGGCACCAATGGAAGATGATGTGTATGAGGTCAGGTCAGTCAGACCATCGCGGCAATTTCGCCAGGAATTTAACATTATGGTTTCCTGGGGATCCGCGTGGAGGTCCACCTGCCATGGTACATTGCTATCAATGGGGCTATTAATCCATTACTAACAATCCACTTCCCCCAATTGAAGATATTTGGTTAGGTAATAAATAAAACACAAAAAGTTGGATACGTCTAGAAAATTCTTTCTCTTTCACATCAATATACAATCGCTTTAATTTACAATAAATCTTTTACACTAAGTTCCATACTATTGTTTCCCGATATTTTCTCTTTAGGCACACAGTTTATAGATAAAACAAAACTATACAGATAATGCAAGTCGCCAGCGACATATTTATTATATAGAAAATCTTATAATTTTTACTATTTTTATAATATCGTCCACATTATATCCACAGTGAGATCATAATTATACGACACCATATAAAAAAAATATAGGTAATTATTTATCTATATATAAATATAATTCTAACATAATTTTACTGTCTATGCCAAAGTAATACGGATTTAAAAAGGCAACTCTATGAACAAAATAAAAACGGAAATTTTCTTTGTTAAGAAACTGTCTTTATTGTATGGTCTATGGTCTAATGTAATAATATTTTTTCTATTACAGAGCCGATGTTTAAAAACAGATATTATCTTTTTAACTTGGAGTTACCTTAACAATAAAAAAAATAACAGAATTCGATGATATTACCAATATAAAGGTTAAAGTTAAAATTGTAGCCAAGAAAAAAACACTTAAGCCCTGACTATGTATATATTTTTTAATATATCACAGGGCACAGACAAAAAAATAAACTGCCAAAAAATGGCGCCAAATATTGACATTTCTGTCAGTCTCACGTGTGGAAAAATTAGTAACATTACACTACGGAGTAAAATATCGGAAAACAAATATCTATATTACATTATCTAGATCTAAGCAAAAAGGCGCTTGAAACTTAATATCTACTTAGTGTTTTTAAACAAAATAAGTTATTGACTATTAAGGACCGATTTCACAGTTGGATCGATGTTAGTTTATGGTCTATTTACAATGGAATATATGACATATTACAATAGAGAGTTCACTAGTCTGCTATGTTTGTCTATTTTATCAAAGACAATTAAACAATATTTAATATCACTGTTTCTGTTTTATACGTAGTTTAAGAGGTTCATTTCTTTAGTTTTATTTTTCTTTTAAGCAACAGCGTACGAATTCAAATTTATATTTGTGTCTTTTGTTCTGGCAACAAATAAACATTATTAATAATCATATTATAGAATAATTAATACAATGGGTGTAGGTTTAATGCCAAATTTACATTCAGCCCGAGTGAGCAAGGAAGTGAGCAGCGCGAGAGTGGAAACACGAGTGGAAACACTTCCCACATCATTGTCGCTGCCACTCGCGGTGCCCGGCGCTCCCTTGATTGTTGGTTTTTCATGCGCGAGTCAAAGGACTGGCAGCGCGAGTGGCAGCGTGTTTTTACATTCAGCCCTCTCGCTCAGTTGTCGCCCGGCAATATTTCCGGCAGCGCGAGTGGCAGGGGAAGCGGCTGAATGTAAACGTAGCATAAGAAGTTTAAGCATATACTTGTTTGAATCAAATTATGTAATTATTTTTAAAAATAGACAACGCAGTCGTTACAAAAACTGCAGTAGTGAACACTCTTCTTATTAATATGTCATTAGATAAAAAAAACTAGAAAACATTGTACAATCCTTGTGTACACATACTCAGAGGCAAAGAAACATAACCACCTACCTATATTAGTGATTAAAAGCATTATACATATATTATTGTTCTCTTGGTATATACGATCAAAAATATGTCAATTATTTACATATTCAATATGAAATTATTTACAGTTGCTGTCGTGGAAACGGCTGGGTCGTTATTTGCTCGCCAGTGTACATTATTCATTCATTAAAGCAATAATGTTGTTAACAATTTTCATTTAAAACCGATTGAAACTCATATGTAATGTCCCGTTATATAGCATCCATAATACCATTGAGTAATTTCAATCTATTTCGAGGGACACGCTTATAAATTGTATTACAATCAAGCTACATCTCTATTCTCCAGCAAACTTGTCAAATAATTGCGTGTACAAATTACACTTAATAGTTATAAATATAGTTAAACAGATTTTAACACAAATAATTTTATGGTAAATAAATGTCACCTACCTATCTCAACGTTGCGTCGAGAGGTAAAATATCTCTATTTACCATA